CTTTCTTTACAAAATCCCTTATTCAAAAGTATTGAAACAACAAAAAACTCATTCAAGCAAAAGGGGTAGTCCAGCAAGCAGCTGTCTGACATTATTTAGGGGGGGCCCTAGAATAATGTCTAGAGATTTCAGGCTTCAAAAAATATGTTGCTTTAGGTAAACTTGTATTCATTCCCTTTCTTTTCCTTTTGATTTGCTTTACTTACCTAAGCTCTTTAGTCTTTAAGCTTTCCAAAACTTTCCAACAGTCAGTGCACACTTTCTTTACAAAACCCGTATTCAAAAGTATTGGATGCTTTTGAAGGTCTTTGGATTCAGATGTCCATTAAAAAATTGAGAAGTACATTTCCACTTTATTGTTTTCCTTTTACTTTAATATTCCAAATGTCTTCAATTTGAGATTTCATTGATTCCCTTTATTTTTAATATTGCCAGAGAAGGCCAAGAAGATTTTTATAAGGATTCTTTTCATTTTGGTCCTTTGATTAGTTTTCTTGTAGATTATATTGGAGGCCCTGGTTGTTGAGGGGGGGGGCCGGGGGGGGGGGTTGATTAATCAAGGGACTACATTAAGTCATATCTGACCGGTTTGCTGACACGGAAGGCTTCCATCATCTAGAGACTTGCACCAGTTGAATCGGAGGAGCTGCTCCGCTGGCCAGTTGTAGAACATGATCCACTTCTCGCCTTCGAGCACCTGGTTAAACCGTTGGAGCACCACAGGCAAGAGTGAGTGATCTCCAAGACAAGTTCATACACATATTTATGCGAGGTAAATATCGAAAATTGTCATATTACTCAGTTTGTTTCTAGCTCTCCAAGCTGGAGTTGCCTACAGCGCTGGCCAATAGAGAAAGGTGAAACCCGGCCTTGTCACCCGCATGCTTCAAAGGCGGTTGATTCGGCCACACCAAGGCACTCCCCTTGGAGGGTTTGACCTAGGTCACAACTTGATTTATAAAACAACCTTTGGAAGCTGAACAAAAAGGCTCTTTTATCTATATCACACGTATATATATATATATGTATAGGGGTATCGGTATCTATATCTATCTGTGGCTATCTATATATTAATGTCTATCTGATTAAGTATTTAGCTTTGCACTTAGTTTGGCTTGAGAACCACACTGCGGGGGAACATAGGTTTTCGATGCCATTTTCATCCATTTTCTATGTCCATGTTGGTGGGAAGCTTTTTTGGGAAGGCTAAGGCCCGAACAAACAGTTTACAGTAACCTTTCCTGATTGCACCAACGGGCCGCTTTGATGCCCAAGGTCGGAAAGAGTGTGTGCCCGCCGGTGCCCACATCGTTCAAATACCTCAAAGGACAAAACGACACGTCGTTCTCTCTCCACTTTCTCGGCCTGACGTTTCCAAAGAACACTCCTGGTGCTGTGACAATGCTGAGGATATTCAAGCTTGTCGAAGCCCTGCAGCCCGTTTGAAGCAGCTAGAGCCCTGCATGCACATTCCCCAAACCCAGCCAATTCAATGCAGCGACGTCAGCATGGTGGCCCGGTTGTAGTCAATATGCACAGGTAGCCACTGCTCCTGCGGCACAATGAGTTTGAAAAAGTGAACATGCGTAGAAAAGGCATGCAACAAACTCTGAACGAATGGGTATGGGCTTTAGCTCTAACTCAACTAGGCATATGCTCTTGAAAGAGACAGCCGATCCCTACCACTAATTAGGGCCAACTGTAAAAAAATCACACAGCAAAACGTCTGGCGTATAGGACGCCAACGGGCACGGGAAGAAGTGGCGATTGAAGTTGTACTGGGCGCGTCCTTGCGGTAGTGTTTGATATTTGCCTGCCCGAAGGAGGTGTCTAGGCCACACTTCTCCCTGACCTTTTGGAGGAAGCCATCCAGCAAGCACCTGCCAGTCCAGTGAACATGCTGGCAGTCGGTTCTTGATATTTTGGAATCTTGGAGACCGACAAGTAGGCAGGTGAGGGGACATTGGAGGTGGGACAGGCATTAGCGGGATGCACGGGTGCCCCAAAGAGAATGCACTTCCCAAAGTTCCCAAAGCGGCGGTTGACTCAACAATGAATGCAAAGAAGAACACGCAGTTGTTGCATAGTAGCTTAGTAGATGGCAAATCCCTTTGCACAAAAACCTTGCCCTCGCCCTACCCCTCTCCCTCCCCTCTCTCCCTCTCTGCTCCCCCTCTCAAGTTGGGATTGTGGTTCAGGACCAGGCTGAAACAAGTCACTTTACAACAAGCTACAGTACTCGACCTGCTTGATTTGTGGCATCTATCATCAACGATCATCAATCTACTCCCAAAGGCTGCACCAGCAGCTACTAGGGGCTCCTGGCCGTACTACTAGGAGCAATGTTCGCTACTAGGGGCTGGTCCGAAATCGAACGAGGTTCTCGTCCGCGTCCAGGTCACTGGCCTGCTTCGATAGGTCCACCGCACCGTGGGATTCCCCAGCCAGTCCAACACTGGCACTCCGCGGAATGCCGTCCGCAAGGGGTTCAGCCAGTTCGGCCTGGGCACGCGAATGGGGCAAACTCTGTGTTTTTAACCAGCCCTGCTGGCTTTGTTGCACGCGGATTTGGTAACAAACTCATTGAAACAAAATGGATAGAGGACAAGTCATTTATCAGTCGGAGTCCATACAGGGAGACTCTCGGAAAGAAATAATCATAAAACCTTCATGAAACATATTGAAAACAAGCGCATTGATCTTGCAAGGCATGTTTTTCTTGTTGATTGCCTTTTGAATCAGGCAATTTATCTGCAAGGAGGGATCAAGTGGACAAAATACTAAGTTCAAGATTGGCCTCAGCAAATCTCTGAACCAAACATCGTCATAAACATTGAATATGTCCGCTAGCTTTCTTGAGCTTTGGACATGTTTCTATCAAGTAACAGGTTACTTGTTTCAACTCGTAGACCACGCCTACAGCACCAAACTGGCAACACCCAAACACGGAACAGCAAAATCGATGCAAAAAAACAGTAGATGTCACAAGCTTGAAGTATTGTTGCACGGCTTGAAGTCGAAGCATGTTTCGGGCAGCCAATGCTCAAAATGGGTGTTTATTTATGGGAAAGGGTTTGCATGTCATGTCAGGTGAAGGCAGCTTTTGATACGGCAGGAACAGGATTGTCTAACCAAAACCTGCGAATTCATCAAAAGCCATCACATATAGCCAGGCCACTCCCAAAAAATCTGAACACTAATTCAACCACCCTCAAAAACCACACGTTGTACACAATTCATCTTTGATCTTCTCGCAGTGGCTGCAGTATCCGCTGTGCAGATAGTAATAATATATTTCATCCAGAAAGGGGATCGATTCGTTACAGTTTTGAATGTGAAAGCAGTTGAATCATTTCAAAGCAGTTGTCAAAGCGTTGATTGATTGTCAAATTCTAATTTGTTTGGTGGCCGTCCTATATGTCTCCTTCCGATCTGACAGGAGGTGAATGATACATTCTGAGAATCTTTGAGAGACACTTGACGCAATTCAATTGCTGTAAGCTTCAGCTTTTGATTGAGATAAAGGGATCAAGACAGACACATTAATTCATAATATAGATAAATCAGTGGCTCTATGAAGGTGTGGTCCGGAAGAAACAAGTATTGCAAGGAACCCTCACAAAATCATCGGACGGGTCTCTTTGGAATTTGGCTTGGAGTGCTTTTGGGGCAATTAATGGAGATGAAGTGTAAGTGTGCGGGAAGCTTTGCGGCTTGCGATGTGCTGGATTGTTTTGAGTAAAGGCTGTCGAGGATTACAAGCAAAGTGAGAGATCGCACAGCAAGAGGCGGGGATCATGCGGAGCTTGAAAAACACCGTGTTTCAAGGGGCCTTCGAGGAATTCATGGCATTGCCGCAGCCCAGTGCTGCGCATTGCCAAATTGTAAGCAGCGACGCTTTGCAATCTACTGGTCATGTTGGGCAACTTGAAGAATGCTTCCCAGGAAATGCAACATTATTATGCACAAATAAATCAAACAATAATATGTCTATAAAAGTTATTTTATTTCAGATGGTTGCTTTTCTTCTTTAGCTCGTTGTGTGCCGAACCAGTTGATCATCCAGTGATGCCGTTACAACGGTTTCAATTTCCACTTGCATTTTCTGCATCACCACCTCCCCAAAAACAACACTTCGCAAGCACCCAACACTTAAAACACCTTTAAGTTCTATGATTTCAGTACCTTTTTGCCTGGTCTGCCCGTAAATCGCACGTCATTTGCAAGTCATCCAGCTTTGCTCAGCCTGACAGCTGGCTCGCGTAATGATTAATCAATCGTGCAATACCATATATACTTTCCTTTTTTGTTCAAACACAACATGTCCCACTATTTACTGCTACTTACTGAAAAGCTGCTTGTGAAATCTGACACTTCACCTCGGGTAGAGTCCAGCATCCAAGTGGCACATCCAAATTGGCTTGACCCAGTCGCTCTGGGAAACTGCCATCCTCTCCCCTCATGGATTCCACGAATGCACAGCACTCCTCGTCAGTGAGGACATTCTCCAGCACCAGCACAGGGGGATCCTCCCAGGAGTGTGTGTGTGTGTGTGTCAACCCCTGGGCCAAGGGTTCACTACCGCCACCTCACCCACCGCAATTTTAACCACAGTTTCACCCGCAGGGGGCCAGCGCATGACATCACGACGCTGGCCAACGAAGCTAGTGATGTCATGGGATGCGGTCAGAGACGTCTGACCGTGTACCTGCCAGAAACTGTTGCTCACGCTGTCCAATCTTCCCTTTTTGCTTTTATGGTTCTTCATGCTACCTCCCCCCAAACAGGTTTCTCAGCCACTTTCAGCAGCCGCGCTTTTTTGCAGCTTGTCGCCGCAGTTGTGCACAAACCACTTGTTAAAACATCTTCAATTGATCGGACTCCTCACCTTACCGTTGAGCCATTCCTTTCCTCGCGGAATTGAGTTAACTGAATACAATTGTCAGAGTGTGTTTCGCTCAGCCGTCCCACTCGGGTGCTGAGTGTGATCCCCGTCACTGGGGCGCTGTCTCATCGTGCAAGCATTAACTGACCTCACCACTTTTCACAGGAACTCCACTGGAAGTCACCTCCACATCCACCGAATTAACTGCCACAACGGCCGCCGGGCCAAAACACGGGACTCCATAGCCGCCGGGCTTTAAAACGGTACTCCACCCGCAGCCAGGCAGGTTTCCCAACCCCCCCCCCAGCCGAGTTCTACTCCCCACCTAATTAGGGCAACATAGGGAAATGGTACTCGACACACTTGTGTGTCGGTGCCTTTCCCTGTGTTGTTCCTGTTCTAGTCTTCTCTACCCGGGCGGTCTAAGACTAAAGTCCCGCTCCCTAACTACTGCACTTAATTATTTTCGGCTAAGTAATCAGTAACTCTAGAGTGCTAGGTAGTCAAACACACACATGTACACACACATGAACATACATCCCCTCCCTGCCCCCCCACTTTTCTTCTTGCGCTTTCCGTCGTTTGTTGGGCTTTCTCTCAGGCTTTTTAGGTTGCTCTTCAGGCTCGTTTCCCTACCCCAGTCAAGGGCTAAGTATTCATTTTTTCTACACCTATCTTTCTTTCTTGCCCTCTTAGCGCTGCTCTTTCTGTCTTTCCTTTCTTTTGTTTCTAAGGCTTTTTAGGTGACTATCTTACGTTTTATGCCAGAGAGCCGCAAAGCGGCGGAGTGTGTGTGTCACACTCTGTACCTAAGAATTTTCCTTGTTTGATTCCAGCAGGGGCGCCGATCACGGCGATCTGTGTGTGTCAACCCCTGTGCCTAAGGGTTTGGAAAAGCCTGCCACCGCTTTTTGGAAAAAGCGCCGATGACGGCGACCTGTGTGTGTGTCAACCCCTGGGCCAAGGGTTCACTACCGCCACCTCACCCACCGCAATTTTAACCACAGTTTCACCCGCAGGGGGCCAGCGCATGACATCACGACGCTGGCCAACGAAGCTAGTGATGTCATGGGATGCGGTCAGAGACGTCTGACCGTGTACCTGCCAGAAACTGTTGCGCACGCTGTCCAATCTTCCCTTTTTGTTTTCATGGTTCTTCATGCTACCTCTCCCCAAACAGGTTTCTCAGCCACTTTCAGCAGCCGCGCTTTTTTGCAGCTTGTCGCCGCAGTTGTGCACAAACCACTTGTTAAAACATCTTCAATTGATCGGACTCCTCACCTTACCGTTGAGCCATTCCTTTCCTCGCGGAATTGAGTTAACTGAATACAATTGTCAGAGTGTGTTTCCTCATTGCGGGTGCAAGCTGGGACGCATGTTGCTTCGATGCTGGGAGGCCGTAACTCTACAGAAACTACTGACTGGAACCGCCTTCTCAAAGCAACCCTTCTCAAACCATCTCGCCGTCTCCCGCACCTCATGAACCAACTTAAGGCCCTCGGTCTCCAAATCGACCTCAGGGAAGAGTCGCCTCAGAGCTTCCAGTCGTTCGGGCGCAAGGTCCTTGACATAATTCCCTTGCACCTCCACCAGTGACTCCAAGGGCATCTCCACCTCCGTCTCCGTCGCGCGCCGGCGCGCGCCGGCTTTCCGTGGCGCGCCCCGTCGTGCTCGACGCACCATGGAAGCCACGGCCGTCAGGACGGCACCGGTGCTGCACTCCGTGGCGCTCCGTGGGGTGGTCGGCCGTGCCCGGGTCCGGACTGGCCGAACCGGCCGGAGCGGCGCATGGCTGGAGCTCACAGCTCTGGACACGGGTGCCAGTTCCATGCTGGTCATGGGCCCGGCTGCTTCAATCCAAAATCTGCGGAGGCAAGCTGTTAGGATCTGTTAGGGTCTCTGAAAATGTTGAAGGGTGAATTTCTGTGGCAAATCATATAATATAAACTACCATTAATAACCAATGGACCAATATGGCTTGAGTGACCCGCCAATCTGCTTGCTGACATTTGCTGACCAGAACTCACTTGCTGTTGAGTGAGATTTGCTTCTCGATCAGCCAAAGGTGAATGCACCCTGAAAACATGGTAAATGTTAGCTTCCTATCCCAACTCCCTCGGCCGAGTGAGTCAAACGTACGACCAAACTCTCCTCGAACTGGCCCTAGAGGCCCCAGAGTACAGACTGGTGGACGGCCGGGTGCTGAAGAGCGATCCAAAGCCTGGGCGGTGGAGGTCCATGAGCACTTTTTTGGCTAAGGTGTGCTCCGATGACTCTAGTTGTATCATATGGCAGCCCAGGGTGAAGCCAAAATCATGCATGAATTCAATGAAAGAATATGTGCCAAGAATGGAACCACTTGAGATGCTGGCAGATTTTGACCTTGAGTCAGTCAATGGAACTTGGCAGGGCACTCACTAATTGGCAAGCCTCCCATAAGGTGCAGCTGTAGTTACAAGGACAGCGGCCGAAGGACAAGAGCGATCTTGACCTATCTGGAACATGGTGCCAGCACTGCTTTGGGCTATACAAAGGAATTGAGAATTACAGTAACTACGTGTCAAGACAGGCTTAACAACCGCTTGGAACACCAATTTCGATGCACCCTTGCAATCTTCTAAGCCGTTAGCCCTCAGGCTTCATGTGTGCGAGATGTTCAAGTTCCCCAAACCTAGCTCACCCCCCCTAAGGGTAGTTGTTGCAATCCAAGGCATCTTTAAAATGAAGATGAGTTATGCGGCATCAATTGATGTCACCCCCCCAAGCTTCCACAAGCACAGCGGCAGCTGTCAGTCAAATGCGTGCTGTCGCCCCCGCTGGTGTAGGGCCTCCGGGCACGGTTTCCCTGGGTAGATAGGGTGAAAGTGCACCGCTGGCGTCTCACCCCTTTCAAGAACATCTCTGTCACATCACAGATCATCTCATGCCTTCTTTGAGAGCTAGCCTCTGGAAGGCCAGTGTTTGATCGTGCCGGTTCTAAGAAGTGGTAAGGATACCAACATAGGATCAAAATCACACAACCCATGGATTTGGTGATCACAAGCATGCATTGACAAATTGCTCAACTCTTTGCTCCAGCTGCTTTGACATGTTTCAAGAATTAGATACACATGAGCGATATACACAATTATACAAGTATCCAATACTACGTGTGTTCAACAACATTCAGAGTTACACCTGAAGCGACAAAGGGTTCAACCATATTCCACCATTTCCCCGTCCGTCCTGCGCATCATTCTTGCAACATCGTCGTCGTCGGCTGGGAGGATCATACCAGTCCTTGACTTGCTTTGTGTGGGTGCCGCTGCCATTCTACTGCAAGCCCCAAAACCGCGCCCGAGCAAGCCCAGAAAATGAGTCTTCGACAGAAAGGGTTTTAGGGTGCAACATCAGTTGAATGGAGCGGACCTTTGGAGAGCATTCAGGGTACTGTCTACTACTGAGCAACAGCAGGTTGCAAAACTGAGGACTCCGTGGGACAGCATGGCATGTGGCGATGCACTTGTTACTAGTAGCGGGAAAAAAGATCCTCATTCACCAAAAGTTGGTCTAAAATGTCCACTTTGGGATGGACAGCTTTCGGCGTCGGGCATCAGCGGCATAAGCCGTCGCTGACCAAGTGGCTCTAGGTGCGCCACATTGGCCAGAGTTGCCTGGCAGGAAAGTGTCAGGAACGTGCAAAGGCCTGCCGAACCCTTATGGACATGGAAGTTGGAACCTTGGGACAAATGACTCGAGGAAAGCTTGATGTAATGTGACTCTTGCGCAGGGAAAAGCACAAGCGTGGTTGGAAGTTCCAGCTGTTGTGCAGTCTGCACAGGTGATTAGGGAAGAGGCCCAGCCGCCCAGCCGATTTCATGATTCTGGTGTAATTCTTGGCTTCTCAAGGTCAGGTGGTTCTTGGATGTTCTTGGATCTTCTTGGTGTCCAAACACTTCATGGTGATTCTGCATGAATCGCTCCTTCAGACCCACTCACCGAGGGAGCACCTTCAAGGGCGCAGGGGGCGAGACGTTGAGGTAGCGAGACTTGAGCTTGGGCGATGTCAAGACCTTGGGCAAAAGGAGCAATGGCTGGCAAAAAGCATCCGCTTCCGCGGTCCGCAGTGCCAACCCCCCACAAAAGAAAGAAAGGGAAGATGTTGGGGGAGGGTATATACATGGAATATGAATGAATATGGATGGTGTGATTGTCCTATCTCGGCCCACTCGAAACAGCGCATGGAAAGCTCCCGAGCCTGGAAACGGCATGCGAGTCATTATTTCTATTTAATTTCTGCACTGAATGAAATCTAGCCACCACAGGTGTGAAGCGATCGCCCGCCATGGCACAGCTGAGAATGCTTCACAACCCAGGGCGATCTGACTTAGATTCTTGTGTTCTTGTGTGTTCTTTTTACTTTATGAAGACTCATAGACCGAAGGTTCTTGGCTTGCTTGGGGCCTTCTTTCTGTCCACTTCAGACTGATCCGCTGGGGCATGATGTCATTGAGCTAAAAGCACAGCCCGCGGCAATCGCCCATTCACAAAAGGATACCAAATGGGACAAAAGTTTTTACGGCCCGGTAGTGGATATATAGATGAAATCCTTCACCATCTACATAGTTGTAAAATGGGTTCGAGTTCGAGTTGATTTGTGGCAATATGCTGTTTAGTTTGCTCCGAACGTTTCCTGGATAGCCATAGGAGCAACTGTTGATCTATATGCGACTGGCCAAGTTCTCTGCTCCAGGGCTGATTAGAACGGGCCAGGAGTGGGTGTCTTTTTACAAGGTCTCTGCAGCACAGGTTGGTGAGACGAATCATGCATTCTGCCCTCAGCGGCCATACGGGTCCACACCTGAAGTCGAACCACGGCAAGCTAAACTACCTTCAAGGCAAGGAGGGGGCTCTGAAAGTGGAAACATAGGAGAAAAAAAGTAAAAACTCTTGCGCACACCTGTGAGAAAAAAACACAAACTCTACTGGGTAGAAAAAATAACTACGTAATTACTTTCATGCTCGAAACTTGACACACCTCTCACAATCCATGAGTCCCTTTGTGGATTCCAATCATCCATTTCCCATTGATCCCTGAAGCACTTCTGAGATGCACCCGCACGGAACCCGGACGACCAATTCTCCCAGCCTCCGAGGTCGCCCTCATCATACTCGTTGCCATCTTCACTGGCCGCCTGGATCTCCGAGCGGCACTCCTCGATGACTTGGCGGATGTCCATGACCTCATTGCCATGCCCAGCACGGGTCTTGTCTTGTCCAAAATGATGGCTTGGACAAGGAAGGCTTGGGGACTTCAATGTGTCTGGAAAATTGCAACATCGTAAACAGTATTTTAATATCATATGTATATTATATATATATATATGTATGTGTGTGTGGGTGGCATTGGCCAAAGATGGTCAAAGCGTTCCAGAATTCCAGAATTGTGCAGCGCCTCAAATAATTCCAAGAAGTGGGTTGAAAACATGTCTATATACTTCTTTATTCAGCTAGTGGTCTGCGGTGGCCTGGGAATGTGGTCTTATGTCTTGCCTCATCAGCCACCCCCAAACAAAAACCGATCAAAATGGACCTTATGTGTTGCTTGAATTGGGCTGTCAAGGGGCGCCTCAAAGATCCAGGATACAACAACAAATTGCTTCTAATTTGAGCAAAGGCCCTGTCTTCTATATGTCTGCCTCTCTCTCAGCAAAGAAACCTGACAACCTCTCATAGCTCATCTCAGTGCCCTCCACCACCGGGCTTCCGACTCGCTGGCGATTGCGGTTGTACTGCCGCCCGCGGTGGTTTTCAAAGAAGCTGCGATTCCAAGAGTTCATCCTTGGGAAAACGTTGAGCATGGTTCGGAAGGGGCTGTCATGACCATCAACATACAGAATTGGTGAAAGACCTGGCCAACCAGCACGTAGCTTAACAAACTTGAACCACAAGTGAATGAAGCTCATGAAATTACAACAGGGTGATGGCCAGAACTGCCAGGAGGCTGATTGTTCATGTAGTCATCTTTGTTCTGGATCAAGCTGTTGTGAGCATCTGTGAAATTGGTCAAGGCCTGGTTCATCTCCTCACGGTTGTTCAAATACTTCGCCTGGCCGCAAACTTCCTTGTGCAACTCGCAAGCCAAGCCTGAGTAACATGGATGAGTCAAAGCCTACGTAATTACTGACTCCATGGGCTTTGGGATTCTTGAGCCGATGCCCGCAACCCTGCGGGACACTCAGGTAACTTCAGGTCACGCGGGCGACATCCGCATTCACAGCAGCGCCGCGATCTTCGGTGCGACTCGCCCGGGGGCCTTCTGCGGGTCGGTGTCTGCCATGGCCGACTCAGATGCTTGGGTGAAGCTTTCGATCTCCGTGTTGGCGCCTGCCGTCGTTTTTTCAGGGGGCCAGGTCGGGGTGCTTTCCTCACTTCGTGCATTTATACAAGTTGGCCCCTTCCACTCTTTGCAAGTTGGACACAAATGCCTTCGGTCAAACCAGTGATGAAGCTCTTCTCCAACTCTTCCAGGCGTTGGAAGAACTCTCGGCTGTTGTCCTGTGAGGGGTTCACCTTCTTTCCTCAGGTGCCTGTGAGCGCTTGTAGGGGCATACGCTCCGGTCGGTGCGGATTGCACAATTTGGATATTTGGATGCTTTTTCTTTTGTTGGCCTCCGAGGCCAATTGAATCCTATTGACATTGACGTGCATATCCCGCAAGTAAAGCACCCGAGTCACCTGAGATTCCGCTCTTCAAACAGTTCGACCGGGCGGGTATCAAATTCTGGACCCGCAGGCACGGCTTCAAATATTATCCGCCTTTATTCCAAAAGGAGCGAGATTTATGGAAAAATGGTAGTCCCTCCTTCTTTAAGAAGACTACCTGGCTATATAACTCCGTTGGCGATTCCATCCTGGTCTAAGGTGACAATGACGGCACTAAAGCCAGCAATGAGCTTGCATACTCTTTAGCTCCGCATTCCGCCCGTCCACCCACAAGGCGGTGCAGTCCAGCATGCCCTTCACCAAATCGCTGATCTTAGCTTCAAAATCTGAGAGCGCTTCTTCGATGCCTTATGTCCCCGCAGGTCAAGGAGTCTGCAACCAGATTTTATACTCTTTTGTACTGCACGCTGGCAGAATAGATTGCGACGACCCTGCACGCCGCTAAAGTTAAAGGAAACGACAACTTGAAACAGCATGATCGACGTGATAGCCATTTAATTTGTCGGGGTCTTGTAGGGCTCCAAAAAATGTTCATCCTTGAGCCCTCAACCACTCGAACGATTGACGGGGATTTGAACGACAGCAAAACTTCAAATGAGCACATTCAACTTGTCCAACTCGACTCATTCTTCTCAAAACCATCAGTGCAAATCCCGAGCAAATGGAAGTAAACTGCAAAATATAGGACTGCTCCAGCTTTTCAAGAAATATGGGGACCAGCGCTAGCCCCAATTTTTCATCAAAGGCATGCTCACGGGAAAGACACCAAAAATGGATTTGAGGCCCGATTATCGTGATAAATCTGATATGCTGTTTGGCGAGGACTCATGCCAATCCCGCAATTGAGAATGCGGTTGTTGTGATTCCTTCGGAAAAAGGAACCCCTGTCGCCCATGGCTCTGCTGCAGGGTGCTTTCCTGGACCTGGATCTCATTGGCCATCCTCAGCAAGGGCTTGTTCACAATTGGATCCGGACGAATCAGGGGCACTCTCTGGAAGCTTTCATGCACAAGTGCGCAACGCAACAAGACACTATATATATAAATATATATATGTGTGTGTGATACAAATTCAATTGAGCGACCGGCAAAACTAGGGGTCCCTGCGTGGAAGTTTTGAGGTAGGTATCGTTTTGGGGGTTGCTCTCTTTTTTTTTCAATCGGTTGTTTTTTTTATTTGGGAAGTGTCATCTACATGTAAAGTAACCAACCTGAACGCAGTGGGCTTGCGAATGGAGAGCGGATGCAAGCTCTCAAACAAGCATTCAGAACTGCACAGCCGGCAAGGCTCAAATGATTCTCCAACCCAGAGAGCTGATCCATAAGTTGCTTGATCAACTCATCCACCTCTGACCGCAGGCGATCATTATCTTCACGATCGATCTGCGACCTCGGCAAAAAGCACGGCCAGCCCTGGATGGAAGAAACACCTGAACATTACACAGTATATATCCCTATAAGCCATTCGAAGATTTAAAGATTGACACTGCAAACGCAGGGAGGTGCAGTTGCTCTTGCGGAAAGAACAAATGGGTGTTTCATGGTGTTTCTCTGCCTCAACATGCCGCTGATTCCAAAGAAAATCCGTATATAAGTTCTGGGCGAGAGGCGAGAGCTGCATTATGGGCATGCAAGACTGTCTTCGACGTTGAAAAGGCTTCTGTTCTGTAGTTTTTCAACTCTTGAGAACTTATGTTCCAGAGCTCACAAATCCCACAAGCTGAGAAGCAACAAACGTCTGGCTCACAAAGAGTCTAAGAACCGGACAAAACCTTCTTCTTCAAGCTTTTGAAGTCCCTGATCGCTTGGAAGGCTTCCTCCTCGCTTTCCGTCTCTGCAGCATACACCGCCTAGCGCCGAGATGAACGGCCTGCTGCTATTCCGGAGCCGCTGTGTGTTTTATCGACCGGTGCGAGGCACCCCATCACTCCCCGCTACACCAGTAACGTCGACATTTGCAGAGCATTGCCAAATTGAGGTGGGTCATGACGTACAAATAGTTAGGGTACTAAGAAATATCCGTACACGGGTGTAATTACCCGTAGGCATCCGTAATTTGCAACACATGTTGAGCTTTGCAGGGACTCGATGCACAAACGAATGATGCTTGACTTGCACTCTTTTTTGTCACTATCTGTTTGGAAGCTTTCAGAGGCGCTCAATCCCGAACAAATCCGTCTTCGTCATTGAAAAAATGTAACATTTGAATACCCCTTCCGATTTCACGGGTGGGGATGTGCAGGCATTAGGTGCCTACAGAACAGCGGACCTTTTAAAAAACCTATGTATGACATTGTATGACTAAAATGATCTTCAATATGCCCACTACAAAATGTAAGACCACCTGAGCCCCCCAAAAAAAACATGCATCCATACGATCCAATAACATAGGCTGCTACAAAATGGCACTAGCACACTACAAAATGCAAGAACGCAGTCCTGATGTTTTCTGCATACTGTGGCCGCCAAACATATTTCTACTCTGCTCCATGTCAATCCATATCATAAGGTTTTTGCTCACATGTATTTGGGGCTGTGGTGTTGCCAAAAGAGTGTGCACATTCCATGGGGACAGGACACTATCAGAACAGGACCGGAACACCATCAGAACCAGCCCGGGACATGAGTAGACAAGAGCGGGACACCATCAGAACATGACCGGGACACCATCAGCCCAGATCTGCCGGTGACCCGACGAGGCCTGTCCGCCTATGAGTTTTGCAAGACCCCAATCACATGGCAATTGGGAAAATGGCAGCTTGAATCATTATAAAATCATAGCTGGGAATTCCTTCAATCACTGCAAAGAGGATGGCACATCCGTATTCCAAACACATTGGCAGCATTCTTCTCTACAAAACCAGTGGTCATGAAGCCTCTTTCTACCTCGATCTCTCGTAATTCATCTGATTCTCCACAAAATGCAGGGTTACCTCAGGTATACTGTATACTGTAGTTTACTACTATTTACACCCCTCTGTTTTTTTCCAGCCATACCTCGCGCCGACCTGGTCCGGACGGGCTTATTGCAAGGCGTTGGCACAGCCAAAGAACGGTAATTAAAAATCTCTGTTCAATGCAGCTGCATATATTCTTGCATCATCGGTGTTTTCATCGAAATTATGATGTCTTAAAACGTTTTCGTATGCAAATTTCTTTGTGATATGCAGCCAGTTTTGCCTCGGTTTCCCAACTCGTTTGGTGCCGTAGTCAACTCTGGATGCAGTGCTATCAACGAATGATAATGGGGTCATCATTACTGCTTCTAATTATATGCCCAAGTAATTTACATCTTCTGTTCATATGGTAATCACTGAAACGTATAATTTGTCTGTTATCGCCCCGAGTTGGGAAGGCAATGGCAGTTGCTTCCTCAAGAATCTTTTGATTCGTACATGACCGATCTATGAAAGTAGGTGGTCTTTTGAGAATCTTTCTCAGGCTTCTTAATTGGAAAGCATCTAGTGATTTGCTTAGCGCCTGGGTTAAATGTATAGTTTCCAACCCATATAAAAGCTTACTCCGGATTATGGCATCAAAAATGATTAGCTTCCACTTTTTGCTGGCTCCAGAAGCTTTCCAATAGGCGCTGAGCTTGAACCAGGTCCTTCTGACCTCTGACATTTTATTGAGGATTTCATGTTTTATATTTACTGTCCTGTTTATCTCATTTCCAAGATACATGGCCTCAAATTCTTTGTTCAAAGGGGTCCCGTCATGAAAATGAATACACCCCTCTGTACTTGGCCTTAATGGCTGCTCATTTTATAGTGAAAATGCCCCTGAACCCGTTCAAATTCGTGTGCACCCGACGACTTCCAGAAGGCGTTCAAAAGCCGCGCACAACTGTTTACAAACCGTGCAGGAGGTGTAAAAGTGTTGCCTTCTGTGGGAAGGTTGGTCTAGCCTACGTGGCAAATGCCCAAAAGACACCTGACCTTGAACAGGCACTGCCAAATCCGTGCTGCTGTGTAAATTGCCGTTCGGACATGTACACAGTGTACGTCCTTACAAACAACACAAATTCAATTGGATTCCACATTGACCACATTGCAAGAACTATTTTCAGGCTTTATGGGTAGTGGCAGGTATATCTGTGACCTTGTGTAAAGCGTTGAATGGTGGAAGTGGATCTTCAATGATCTTCCTTCACCCGCGCGCTGGTTTGGGTTCCAATGGGCTGCAAGGTTCACTCCCCCCTGCGTGCGCCTTCTCAAAGGCGACCACCTTCCTCAAGCGAACGTCATTCTTCTCCTGGTGCGCCGGGAGTTGTTTCATGTCAGACAAAGAAATTGATGTTCTAAGTGTTTTCCTTGGCATTTGGCATACCTGCTGACTCTAAGTCTATGAATTCTAAACATTTCTATACCATGCCACTTCAAGCGTGCCTCCGTCGGAGCACAAGCGTCCGCTCTCGCCGTCCGATCGAACGAGGTGAATCCAACGAGGTGGACACCCACGCGTCGGAGCCTCCATCCGGGACCTTAGGCCCTTGATCTCTTCGGAGAGCTTGTCGCGATAATCCTCGAGTGGTTTCGCGAAGGAATTGAGATGTGGATACTATGAATGAGAAGTATTTTTGTTTTCAGCTGGTTCCACATGACGCTCGAGCCATAGAAAAGCATGGAAGTGGCAGAAATGGACTCCTACTCGGGAGAACTGGACGAGCATGGAGGCTCCCCGACCAAACTGCCCAAACTCCATGGCTTGAACACACTGAGAACCACCGCCCCCTGTGTCGCTGCCCTGAATTCTGTGAGCGCACCTCCTTTAGGCCCGGGTAACAGGCAAGCGCGAGCACGTTGTCGGGCTCCACTTCCTGAAGCGAGATTGAGACTGGCAAAATCTGATTGGCCAGCTGGCTGTTTGCCAGCAAAGTCCTGCAACCTTGGAAGCATTGCACCGTGCAATTCAAGTCTTGGGCATCCAAGAGGCTATATAGTGCCATGACTAGTGCCATGACTAGTACCATGACATATCCGTGCCTCTCCAGAATAACTGGAGATGCTTGTCTTGGAGTGCTGCTCCAGTCTTCTTGCTTCTCCCTTCCTAAGATGTTTATGGAATTATCCTCAAGCTTACTTCCATGCTCAAAAATCGCAAAGAACACCACTCCCAAACCGCGTCCATTGCGACGCTCTTCTGCACCTCAAACCACTTGTTCACATTGTAGCTTACTTTCCATCAGCTATTTCTGCAGCCCAACACAGCTACCTCGTCCGTCTGTCCCCCTCTATCCGTCGGATCCTTGGAGAACATCTCTTCAAACAAGTTCTCAGTGCAGTCCAAAAAGGCCGTCCTGGATAAGCTCAGCGGCTAGACTGAAGACTCTGGCCTATACAAGGAACACAAGGAACATACGGACACATGTCCTCAATTCCCCTCTCAAAAACTGTTACTATAGATTATGTTGAATTGAACCCCCATGAGGAATGGTCGATTAAATAGATATGATTCAAGTATACAGGATTATATCATAAATACATATAACTTACCTCACCTCTCAAAACCCTCACCAACATATGTCACCAAAAAATCTACCCTGCTCCTACAAAGCACAACATTCCCCCCCGTTACGAACCTGGGGCTTTCAGTTTCTCCGAGCAAGTCATGTGTAAAAAAAAGCTGATTGCACTTCTGCGCACTTCAAGGAACATCCTGCTCCTCGGTGTAATTCAATTTGATGCTATTCTATGCACCTAGTTGTAGAGAACTAAAGGGCCCTGAAAGATAAAGTCCCCGTGCATCAGTCACAAGCACAGCACCTAGGAATATTACCCTGAAAATAGTTGGATCGTCAATTCATCCATTCCATGTTCCAGATTCAACTTGCTGCTCATTTCACCAAGTTTCTTCAGCTTCTCGATGACAGCCTGCTTTTCCTTGGGAATCACAGTCTAGTTGGGCAGCATGCAGCCCTACTCTCAAATCATCTCACAAACCATGTCGTAGGCATGAAACCCCAAGGAATGACATCGGGGAAATTTGCTACCAAATAGAGTTTCTCTGGCTTCTCACCTCCTGCACCATCTTCTCACAAGGCCCACAACCCGCCAAAAGAATTGCTCTTCATTTGGAGGCCACACGCAGGTGCCCCTGCAAATGGAAGAACCCATCAAGAACCGTCCAAGTCCAAATCCCAACTGCACTCAACCCGCACCCTTTCCGTCTAGCTGCTGCTAGCGCTTTCTGTCTGGCCTGCTCTGTTTGCTCCTTCTCCCGGACCTGTTTGGAAGGGGAGATCGCGACATCTGTGGCAAAATTTGCCGGATCCCCAGTGACTTGTCATGGCCTTCTTCCAGATTTAGCTTTTCTTACAGTAAAGCACACTTACCAATACAGGCGTTTGCTTGAAACTGATAATCTTTGACTGACTGTCCCAGTGAATCTGACAAACCATGATAAATCCAAAGTTCACCCGGTTCGCCTCTGTGATGCCTTCCAGGTCGTAACCCTCTTGTGCTTGGGCTACTGCCTGCGATCACACGAGCCCACGGTGCAGTTTTCAGCTTTTGAACCTAGGACTTGGTCAGGCTTTGCCTTACACCATCTACATTGACTAAAAGAAAAAGTGAGTTGAGGTACTTTGATCTGACAGATTTGGCGTGCTTTAGTGCTTTGGGACACCTCCACAACTCAGGAGCTTTCAGCATCGCGTCGCGCACAGTATCCAGCTACCACTGACCTTACGGTCAATGAGCATATAGTCCAAATACTTGAGGTGCGGCAGGTAGGCCAGCCTGAAAATCCGTCCCGAGCTCATGGCACATGCCATGGCATGCCTGCGAGAGACCAATAAACAGCACAACCACAGCGCAGCACGTCCACTGGGAGCTGCACTGTTTCAATTGAAACTCAAGTAGAGGGAAGCTCTTCCACCAACCACGGCTATCATGAGGAAAGGCTGAGGGCCAATAGACTCCCCAAAGGGCATCCAGTGTCAACATGCAAGAAGTACAAAACCAGTCCGACGAATCATAGTCCCATCTTGTGTGTAGTGTGGTCTTTTTTGACTTCTTGCTGCACACTGCCTGCAGGTTCAGCGATGTTTGCCTCCTACCTCAGGCCTGCTGACTAGAAGGTTTGCACCTTTGATCACCTTGTTCCAGCTAACTTCTCACAGACTCCGGATCAGTCAAGGCGAGTTCTAAGACGACAAACTTGCTAAAGCAGTTTGACAGAACCACGTGCCTTTTAACTTTCCCCGCACCTTTTTGCCACAGTTGGGTTCTCACTAGGACCTCCCCCGGGAGCCCGGACACGTGTTGGTTGTAGGACTCTGCGAGGCAAATCTTGTTGGAATCCATGCACAAGCAACGCAAGTTCTGAAACTGCCGCAGGTAGTCAATCTGCCTCCTTGGCGCCAACGAAAAAGGGAGAGAAGGTGAGAAGACAATGACTTAGTCAGCCCGACGGTGTGGCCTGGATCCAAAAGAAGAAGGCGGTGAAAGGGTTATATTATATATATATGATATGCTTAGCAGCTGAACTTGAATGTGGTCCGAGCATCAAGTCTTGGATGTTGTTATGCCCGAGCGACCTAGGCAAAGGGGTGAGGATGGTCAAGGTTGGTGCCACGGACTGAACGAGGTTTGGTGCCACGGACTGAACGAGGACAGCCCCAAACCAGTCCAAACTAAACATGTTCTATGCATATAGATTGGACCCTTTGACAAGTGGCAGATGTTAGTACTGCAGTGCTGGAGTTCTTAAAGTGCATTTGGTGATAGAGACAGCCTTTCTGAGCCAACGTGCACATTCAATCAGTTGCAGGCTTTCCCCACTGCAGGCACAAAACAAACACTGCGCTTCAGCTCAACGTAGCAGAAAACAAGTGTGCTTCATCCAAGTTGCATTTAAAACAAAAATAATATGCCACACAGCTAGCTTCTTCTGAAAGCCAAGTGGCAATATGTTCAGCTTAGGGCAACCGTCAAGACGATCTGCAAAGCATGGCGCTTTGTACTGTTTGGTGCTTAAGGGCCTTGCACCCCTTGTCACTTGGTCAGGAATCTGCAAAATCGGGTTTGATCTTCGGGTGCAGCACGCCGAACACTTGACAATCAAATATGTCCTACAAAACTGCGGATCACTTGACAAATGCCTACACCAACCGAACCACAAAAGGTTAAAAGCTTCCAAAAGTCAGGGAACCTGGTCGGAAACAAACTCCATGGAAGAATGTATCTGATGTACCATGATAAATAATGCATCTCTAATCTTAATCATACTCTTTAACATCTATAATCTATAGCATTCTATAATATTATATAGGTTGGATTCTGCAGGGTTCTATTGCACGTCTGACGGGTCAACTTGCTTGGCCATTCATAGTTGATCGGCACCCACAAGGACTTGCCAAATGTGAGTGATGGACAAGTCTCTGGCTAGGTCCCTCGGATTCTTGTCCGGGCTCCTGTCACCACTCTTGGAGCCACGCCTCGGATCTCTTCAATCTGATTGTGATAGAGGGAGAGGTCCAAGAGTTCATGAAGCTCACCAAGGCCTTCGATTTCTCCTCGGAGCTTCCGGGTTTTCTCGCGGAATCATTCGTCTTGGGTCCGCCTCACAGGGGCGTTTCAGCCTAAAACATCCTAAAACTCGTCCAGCCAAGGATGTCCGGGAGGGTTTCGGAGAAACGGTTGACTTTGAAGAGAGCTGCCCTCACTTCTATGTGGTCAAAGGGTCACGGCACTTCCGGAATTGTTGAGCCAGTCGCACCATACAAAGCACAAAAGTGGCCCAGGCAGCGCATCAACAATGAAAGCAACTCTAGACCTATGAAAACGCGGGACTTCTGTATGCGATTTTGACAGTCATCGATCTCATGCATTCTACCACACTAGTGGCGGACCAGTTGCACGACAAGCTAAACTAGAAGCTTAGTGACTTAGTGCTCGAAGGTCTTTGGCCAAAATCACATATAAGATAATCAACTAGACTATACCCATGTTATTCTGAGTTTTAATCTTAGGACTGACAAAGGTTCCACACCCCTCCCACATTGCCGTGCTTGCGCAGGTATGCGAAGGTGCTTGGGCTATCTTGGGCTCTTCAAGGGCTCTTCACTCCGCGGGTCTCGTCACGCAAGGAAAACGATGGTCGTTTCTGGCTCGACTCGAGCTGGGGCGAGCATCGGATGTTGTTGAAGGAAAGGTCTAGCCAGGTGAGCTGCTTGAGATGACCCAAGTTCGCAATCCTCAGATGCAACTGACCATGGCTTCATGCGGGGCAGTTGTGGAACCCACCCACGGGAGGAAAGGTGTGGAACCCACCCACGGTGGCGAAGGAATGAAAGACTACGATGATCTACGATGTCTTCATCGAGCCAATCGACATGAGCAGCTGCTCTCGGCAGGAACTGCAAAAACTATACTCCTTTGTCGTTTGTGACCTGAATTCTGCCCCGCCTCCCTCTGCAAAATATGCAACGGCATGACAATTACAATAAAACCCGCACACACACACTCACACACCCATCTTTCAAGCCACAGAAAAGACTAAACAGCACCTCTTTTAGCAACTCTCCTGCCCTGACCTTCCCTCCCTGGCCAAGGGTTCTTATCTATGATGTTGTTGTCCAGCCGAAGGGTGAGCAGCGAGTCGAAGTTGTTCAGATTGGAGATCTCATCAAACATGACACGCCCAAAGTGAAAAAAACACTATCAGGACTTGATACTTGAGCCCTAAACAACACAACATCAGCGTGAGTTATATGATTAGATCTCGGTTCAAAGTCCATCAGATTGCAGATGATCTTTGTGGGGTGTGCTGCTGTGGGACTGGTCCCCAGCAAAATGAATTTCGCAACACAACCAGTCCTCTGGGCCTCTGGGGCTGCGGCCTTCACACGCCCAAGGATTAACCAAACTGCAATGAGGCATAATGAGGCAAAATCCTGATAAAACATATGTATAGAATATACTTACTATATGTTATGTGCAACTATATATGCCATATGCATTATGGACCACAAATAAACAAATATGTGTATAATTATATGTCATTGTGATATATATATATGAGTGTTTTTGTGTGAGGAATGCTGTTTTTGTTTGAGGAATGCTGTTTTTGTGTGCGGCCACTGAGCCCACGCACAGTGCATGGTGGAGCAGCGCTTTGATTCCTTCGGGGGTTCCAATGCTGGCTCCTGCCCTGCTAGCATCCCAATAATCATTTGCCACATCTCTTAAACGCAACCTCTGGACTCCCACAAACCCAAGGGGTTCACCACGTTGGCGCATCTTTTGTGATCTGGCACCCACCATGTAGGCCTCAATAATGTTCTTGAAGGAGAGGCGTAAGGAGGTGACGCGTGGGAAGTCGATCGGCTCCCAAGCTTCTCCATCTGGGCGAATGGGTTCCTGTGTGATGTTGGACGGGGCGTTTGGGGCGGACATGGCGGAATATCCTGATCTCTTGGAGTTGTGGAGACGTATGACAGAGAAACATATATATATTTATAATATATATATAGGTATTTGTTGATTGTCCTTGCCATGTTACATGTTCTTGATTGATCCAGCTGAATGCATTGCATGGTGTCGCTGATGGAATCTTCTCTCTTGGATGTCGCCGGGCAAAAGCTTCGTAGAAACACACACAAATACATACAAAATTTATCAAATCCTGTATGCTTATACTGCATACTTTATTGTCCTGTAACACTCTAGCAACTGAGACCCCCAAAGGAGTTGCAAACCAGTGATCCCAGCAAACTTGAGTACACCGAAAAGGTGCTGGAAGACTCGTCTCGGACTCTTCTGCTCGTCCTCGACCCCCTCGATCAGAAGCTCTTCGCTGATCACCTGGGGCTCCACCACATCTGCCTTTTTCTTCCTCAGCGCATGGGGGTGCTACATACTGTAGACCAGAACTCAATTTCAAGTGCGCTTTAACATGGACCACTGGAAACGGTGACTTCCTGGGGAAACGGTATTAGCACCTTTTTTTGCAATTTCTGGACCCTCACTAACATGGACCGTTCCCACTCTCAGTCTATGATCGATTTTGACACTAACATGGACCAACTGCACTCTGACCATAAACTGAACGCAGGCTAACATAGACCGCGCCGGTAGAGATCAACATGGCCCGGTGGAGGCTAACATGGACCATGTCACATACCTCTAGGGGCCTCCTGAACATGGTCTACGTTAGTCTCAACCGAGGTACTGCAGGTGCACAACTAGACAGATCTTTTAGCACGGTGGAGGCCAACATAGACCATGCCAAACACCAACAGGGCCTATCTGAACTTGGTCTAGGTTAGAACGCAAAAGAAGGGTCCATTGCTAGAAGGTTGGAGGTCATTGCAAGTAGGTTGGAGGCCATCGCAAGTAGGCCTTGGTGGGGTGTCATCACAAATCTCATGGGGAGAGACAGGCGCCAAACTAGACAGCTCTTTTATCATCTATAGCATAGCCCGGTGGAGGCTAACATGGACCGTGCCACATACCTCTAGGGCCTACCTGGTGCATCATTGCTTCTTCAACGTGTTCTTTTTTGACATTTTCACAGATTGCTTCAAACAGACTTCAAAAATCAATGGAAGACAGGAAATGAAGGAATTAGAGCAGGAAAATGACTGGGGCGGCGAGGGGACGGAGACTCCGCACCGAGACAGTGTCGGGTCCCAGGGCGACAGTGAGCGAATCGGGTCCAGCGGACACCGTTGAGACTAACCTGAGTCGGGCTTGTGGCTAACATGGACCGTTCCTACTCTCAGTCTATGATCGATTTTGACACTAACATGGACCAACTGCAAATCTGACTATAAACTGAACGCAGGCTAACATAGACCGCGCCGGTAGAGGTCAACATAGCCCGGTGGAGGCTAACATGGACCATGCCAAGTACCCGTAGGGCCCACCATGGCACATCTGAATTTGGTCTAGGTTAGTCTCAACGGTGTCCGCTCGGAAACTAGACTAACATATGCCCCCAAAAAAACTTTTGGTTTGGCGAAAATGTTAGTTTTCACCGGTGTAGGTCAAACCCGGCCACCAGTGGCCACCAGTGCCGGGCTTGTCCCATGGGAAGGATGAGTTGGTGGCTTGTGCAGCGGCCCTGAAATGATCGTGTCACTGCACGTTCCCTCTTGGTCCAACGGCAAACTGGGGCCGTTTGCGGCGATCAAATCCAAACCACTGGATCATGAATTCCCCTTAAGGCCCTGTTTCTCTCCTCGGCCTGCTCATGTCACTCTCGGAAAAGTGTCCGTTGCTCAATGGCGATCTTCGCCACGTTGGCATTCGAGGAGCCCTGCCCTAGGTTCGCCAACGTGTCCGCCATGGCGACGCTCCGCCCGGCCTTCGGGCCTTCAGCCTCTGGTGTCGGGCTTGGGCCAAACCCACACCCACGATGTCCATACGGTCTATCCGAAGAAGTCTATCCCTTGCACCTCGCGAAGGAAGGCGATTCACCAATCAACATAAGCCGGATGAAAAGGAGGAGACTCAATGAGATGTGGAGCAACATCATAGATTTCGCCAGCCTTTCCAAACAACACATTGCCCTTTTTCAGTTGCGATGGTGTCCTCAGGCGCGCTTTCACCTACAGTAGCAGCTAGCAGCTTGCGAGGCTGGGATGTATGTAGGATGGCTAAACTTACAAATAGCTTCGACATGTTTCGACCAGTCTGGCCGTTACTCAGCTGAAGTCTCGCCAGGAAGCTGCATGAAACTTGGCTACTAGTCTCATGAATCTCATCATGAATCATGATTCATTATTTCAAGTAGCTGCTGCTCATGGGGAGACCTGTCCTCTTCTCTTCACATGTGTCGATTTGTTCACTTTAGGGTGCTCGATGGTTGACGCATGTTGACGCATGGCCCGATGTTCTGGGCGCTGTTCTACGGTGACACAAAGCTTCAGCAATCGTCCAGCCTGCGCAGCAACAAGTAAAGCTGCGGTGCAAGCCAGCACGCACAAGTCATTACCATCTGCTTTCTAGTTAGTGGGTTATGTTGAACTCTAAGTACTATATAGTCGGTAGTGGTTGGGACCTAGGAAATTATTACACTCGCATGGCGCGAGCCCCATCTTGGTCTATGGCATGGCTCATGCCCCTCCTCTCCTTTGCCGCTTCGCACCCCAGCTTGCCGCCGAGCGGACTGTTGCGATCAACAGCGTGCCCTATGTGGATATACAGGAGCCTAACAAAGTCATCCCTTAGTCACCCCTTGCCCCCCTTGCCACGATTTCAATGTCAAATTACCCTGGCAACATGGCAACGCTGTTTCCAAGAAGTCATCCCCCAGTCAGCTCCAGGAGCTGATCCCAATGGAACGTTGTTACCCAAACAAGGTTTCTCGCCAAAAGAGTAAACCCAAAGAGTGCAAAGACCAATGGAACGCTGTAGAAATTCTGCCGCCAACTTTAGTCACATCAGGGGACTCGAAACGAGCCAATCCGCAAGTAGTGGCCCGACGCGATCGGGAAAACAAGGAGTTTACAGATATTCTATCGTTATGTTGGGCAATGGCAGCCATACACGGCCAACCATCAAATATTGTTTGCGAAAAAAACGAACAAAAAACACACAAAAGCAAATGAAAATGCAAAAGCAGCGCAAGTTGCTTTGTTTTTGCATGTGCTTTGCTGATTTTTGTTTATTTCCTGGTACCACTTCTGCACTTATGAGAACTTTTACCCGTCAGCAATATTTGCTGTACGCTCCTAGGAAAAAAGCGAAAAAGAACGAAACTAAAGCGAAGCGAAAAAAATGTGAGAAACATGCGAACATAAAGCGAAAAAAAAAAGGTGAAAAAAACAACGACAAACACGCACACCTACATGTTGTTGCTTTTTTGTTTGCTTTGCCTTTTGTTTTTCTTTTTTTGCCTTATAATCTTTATAAAAGGGTTTTTGGCTCCTTGTATCTATGGCTGGCGCGCCCGACGTAATTCTATCGATTGAGTTGAAAGAAAGTTTCATTACAGTGTGGAAGCAGCCAAGCAGTGGCAGCAGCACGCCAGCAGCATGCAGCAGCACACAAGCAGCAGAACACCCCAGACCAAAAACTATGTCAAGCCTAGACAGTGGCGGAGAAGGGGTACCAGCAAAGCGCGCGCTACTACAAACATCTGGCAGCAACACCCTGCAACGAGGGGGCCAAGCACTCACTTGCGCACCCCCAAATCCCAACGAGGGTACCACTAGCTCTCCCAACAGCTCTCGCTCGCTTGGCGTAATCTGTCCAAGTCCACAAGTGTTCCTTTGCCAACCTGCACTGGCAAGCCTGGAAATGACTGTTGCTTTGCCTGTACTTGTCTCGCATGTGTGTTGAACATCCCTTGTGAACTGCTTGCAGGAATGGGTTGCCAGTACCGCGTTAAAACACCTTTCGATAAGAGCCCCAGCATACAACCTAAAGTTGGTCCCTTTCCAACCAACAGCGTTAGCTTGTGTTTGGGAAAAAGAGATGGCTTTCCGCAGAGCATTCCCCCCAAGGCAGGGTAGCAATACCTCAGAAAGTGACGACATTGTCTTTTGCCTGTATGACCTATACTCACTCTGCCTCAAAGCGGGCACGGTATCTGTATGTATCTGTTATAAAATCAATGCATGTTGGCGGCGGCGACCTCCTCATCATTCTTCTGCGCCCTTCTTGAAGTCCTTCAAGAATTGTTGCATGGCACAGCTGTTCGTGCCGGCAGCACCCGGGGGGCACTGGCACCAGGTGGCCGCACAGGGCACCAGGTGACGCGGCGGCATGCCCTTGGCAGGTGGACCTGCCAGTGTCAAATGGCATGAGTCAAGGGACGTGGGGGGTGACCAGTAAGGCGAGGATCATCCCGAATTCACAAAGTGCTCTGGAAAAGGGACCATTCAAAGGTTCACCAAAAAAGCGGGTGTTTCAAGCGCCAAGGTTGAAACATCCCCATCCCTGGCAGCTCCATGGCTCGGACGCCTGCGTGGTTGGCACGCAAACGACGAAGAAAGAGGAGCGTGGCCCAGCGCTGGGCTTCCTGATCGACCCAACTCCACTGAACCGATGGTCACCACGTGTCAAGGAGAGAGTGCCACTTGAGGCTCATTCAATCAAGGGTTACGCATTGCAAACTCTGGGTGAACTCATGCAATCTCCCAAACAAAATAGACAAGTTGAAGGCCCATGGTAAATAACGACCATGATACATCATCATATACCATGATAACGCCATATACCAAATCCTGTATGTCACTATTGTCATTGCTTTAGCAGCAAGACTGCGAGGTGATTCGGGGGATGCTAAGACCCCGCTCAACCGCAGCAAATGCTCAAATGTTTGATCTTGCAGCTTATATAAGCCTGCTTCAGCAGGTCCAGTGGCCCCGCTGAACCAATGCAATGACTGAGGCCAAACAGCTGGAAGACGCCATACTTTTCCATCAAACAAGTACTTCTTGTGCGCTAGTCCCTCGGACAGGGATTCAGATTTCGCTTTTCACACAACGTGCCCACGCGCCCAGTCAGTATGCCCAGCTTCAGTCAAGCCAACGTTTGGTGGGGGCATCGGCCCACAGTTGTCCTGGCCACGGACTAAGCACAAACAGCCAGCTGAAGATGACCTTCGAACCCCCAAGCCCCTTCATCCCCCTATTTTTGCAGTTGTACACAAAAATGATCTGCTGGAAATTGTTTGCAACGTTTTGCAATGCAACACGAAGGCGACAAAGGGCCATGATGACTCTCTAGGATCCTCATAGTCATGGTCACAACCCATCGGACCTTTTTGCGGGGATGGGTCTTGCAGTAGAAGCCGTGCTGCATGAGGTCATTGATCACGTCCCCCACTTGGTGCCGCTTCACGTCTGCCAGCCCCAGCTCGAAGAAGATCCTCGATTAGGAGACTTGGTTGTTCGATCGAACCGTTTAAAGTTTATACCCCGATAAGCCCCCAAACACGAAGAGCCTAATTCAAGTTTTGTTGAGGCTCGACTGATAGAGGTGGGATTTCTCTTGTTGGGGGTCAGGACGCATCGTTGGCCCAGTTCGGCCCCAGCTTCTGAATCAGTTGCGCTGTGCTGATGTTCGGGGGCTTGCCCGATGCCAGCTGTGCGAACTTGCCAGCGACCTCCTCCTGGCATGTCTGGCGTCTGGCCAATCAAATCAAGACCCTCAGGAGGAATGATGTCAGTTTCTGAAGTCAATAGGTTCAATAGGCCAACACTCCACCCACAACCAGGGACGACTCAGCACATCTAAGGATAGATTCCATTGCATCTTTGTGCGTTTTCAGTTCTGGTACAGTATGCCCTCAACATGATATCTCCACACTGGTGGCAAGTCTGACGTCATTTAAATGCACATCCGAAATCAATACAGATTCCATCTGAAGCATTAGTTTCTTTTTAATGTATATATATATATATAAGCCATCTTGATGCCTTGCCTGCAAGTGCTGCAGCGCTCCATGCCCCAAGGCCCGCGAGACGATGCTGCGCGTGCCCTGCCTGAGTGGAAACGCCATCAGTGCCTTGGCTGCGGTCTTTGGCTACCCCCTTCGCCTGTAGGGAAACGATTCTTCCGGAGGGAAGGGCATACCTGTAGTAGTGGTTCATCATTCGCGTATCAAGGTGCAACAGTAAGAGGTATATGTTGGAGAACAAACCTGACCTAGACATCATGTTCCGACATCCTTTTGGGAAGCAGTGTCTCAGTTGCAATGAAGAGCATCTAAAACTTGCAAGGCAAGATGGGAGCTCACTTCAAGTGTGGCAGTTAGTCAAATGGTGGCTCTCCGCATGCAAAACAATGGACTCTTACATTGTTATAAATTTACAAAGGATAGATTGGATAATTGATTAGTTAAACATAGTTAAACTATGTCAAGGACCAGAACGCCGCTTCGTTCATCTTGTCATTCCCTCAGGCCCCCATGCAGCAAGGCTGCTTGATGGCTCCAGACTGCCTGCCGACTTGCCCTAAGACTGCGAAAATAGCGGAGAGGAAGAGACAAAACAGGATGAAGCCCGACAAGTAGTCCCAGTCCATCCTGGCGGCCAGGGAGGTGTCCCCTAGCGCTTGCCCGCCCGGAACCACGCGTCTGGAGCCACAAACGTCAACGGCCAATGAAGAGCATTTATATATATATATATGTATAAATGGTCGAGCTGCGTGGATGACTGCAAATGGTAGAATTTTGACCAAAACTACGGGCGAAGTGGAACCCAAAGCCGTCTGACTAAGCTGCCATAAGCCGCATGACTTGATCTTTGCCAGGAAGAGAAGCTGGAATCGCCAAAAACAGCAAATAGAACATTTTAACAGAACTAGGGACATTTGATAACATCTGTCATCTTTTGCAAAGTAACAGTATCAGTATTAGGGAAAGAACTTGGGTGTGCGCAAAATTTCAGGAATCGTGAATGGCCTCTTCTCTTCCTGATGTCCGCATCTGCGCGGTACACAAAGATATGCGTCACTTTTCCTTTCTGGGTCTCGACTGGCAAGGATTCCGGAGGCGCTTCGAAGCAAGGCCTCGATGGTGCTTCGACGATACGTGGGACACGGGACACATCCACCCTGGCGTGACATGACCCCCCTTTTTCTCCCAATTGCAATGGCCTCCAACCTGCTAGCGATGGCCTCCAACCTAATAGCGATGGCCTCCACCCTTTTTCTTGTGCTCTTAGTGTTTGATGCACTTCCCTTCTGTCATTCTGAAGGGTCACTTACTCCAGAAATCATTCCAGTCGGATTAGCCCGGATTAGCTCATCAAAGCTCAGTTGACGAAGGACTTCCCTCATCAATTTGTTGTATAATGCGCCAAGGAGAAAACAAAACACTAGAATCCAATGTGCATTGTAGCTAGGGCAGCTAGGGTTGCTACAAAGGGCTGAGAGCCAAGGGAAGAAAACAAGTGGAACACGTTCTGATTACCTAATAATAGCCTATAAAATTATTTTCATTTTGAGTCATCCAGCCATACCGGAATCATCAAAAATCGATATCTTGAGACTTGAGACAATTTGCGGCAATTGGCTTAGAGAGGACCACAGCGCTGTCGTGACACAGCTTTTTATGCAAGCCTGCGCTGTGCCGTGTATGGCATGCTTAGATTCAATAGGATTCAGGGTACGTGGTGAGCTTCAGCACTCCAGGCTGCTGTATTTCACCACCCTTTTGGGCTTCAAAACTTCCAGGAAGTAGCCTCACTTGACTAGCAATGGTGCACAAAAAGAAGCAATTGCAAATATTAATATAGTTGCTGCTATAATCAGAGCTATACAATAGGCCCACTGATGCAATTGTCACCCATCAGCGTCAGCATGTTCATCTTAAGGTCCCACCAACTATCTCAAATGAAAGCCTATCAATATCTATCAATTCTCTGTCACCAATCCATCCAAGTAGCAGCAGGTCCGCTGCCACTCCAGGAGGTATTGGGATTGGCCAAAAACGCGTGGCTTCTCCTACACGCCTTCGATGGTGACGCTCTTCATCATGACTGGTGTGATGGGGTTGTCGTCTCTGGTACGCACCTTGGAAATCTTCACCATGGTGTCGAAGCTGGCCTGGACGTAGATCGAGCAAGTTGAGTCGGCCACGTGTGGGCTCAAAGGCAGGGCGCTTCCGTAATAAAAGAATCATATTTCAAGACGGAAGGTGGGGGAACATGGGTCCCTTGTTTTCATTTCTCATCTCCCTGTTTCTGCTATACATTTTCCTCAGAAACTATTGTCCAGAAACTCATTTCACGGACACTGTGTTTCGTAGCTGCACTTCCGTCAATCTGCATGCTTTGGCCACATGTGAATGCAGCCCATTGGCGTTCACAGATCCATAATAAGTATCCAAACTCAAAATGATGAACAATATTCGTTCTTGTGGCCAAAGTCCGAACATGTTCGAACCAAGCGTCGCTAGTGGCCGAACATCGTGGCCGAACGTCCTGGCCGAACGTCCTGCCTTGTCGACGCACTTGCCAAAGACAGGGTGCTTCGACTCACCGGGGCTGAACCAGTCGAGGAAGTCATTGTGGACCTCGCAAACTCGGAGAAGAAAAAGGGGGAACACTCGTTTTTGTGACTTGGAAAGCGGATTCCAGCGAGATACTACGACTAGTACTTCGACTTCTACTCCTTATACTACTTCTACTATGACAATGACGACAACGGCGACTTCGATTGCTAATTGGTACTCATACTGCTGGCTCTCCCAGAGTTTTGGCCCATGTTCGATGAAGTGAGCAGCCTCTTTCTCCATGGCAAACTTACTTGCTGCAACCGTGAAGATGAAGCTTCAAATAGTCGAGCTATACAAATGTGATCAAATGTGTTTTTGTTGGCTCTCCAGTTGTTTTTTTCTCGGTACGTGACATTATATATATTATAATACAACTAACATTATTAGTATATTACTATATACATTGTTATAGTATAGTACAAATCATAATATTTTATTTGTATTGTATTGTATTGTCTTGTCTTGTATTGTATTGTATAACTGTATATACATATATAGAACACAGATATATATGTACTGAAGCTGATGGGGCTCCTACATATTTCCCTCTCCCTCTCCATCTCCAGCATCCCCGGAGTTCAAACAACACTGCCAAGAAACGACGTTCATGAAGAACTGGGAGCCACCGCTGTTCGGCTGCCCGGTGTTCGCCATGCCTCAGTCACAGCACCCAGAAATCAAGGTTCGGCTATTTTGCAGAGCCACCAATTACCTACCATCACAAGTATGTGTCTTACCTCCCCTCCTCCTCATCATTGATTCCTTTGTCACCTGACCTGGGCCACTACACTGGTTGTCAGCTTAGCTCAGCTGGTGAAAACAAAAGGTGCGCAAAACTTCCCAAGTTTGTTCCATCCAGCTTCTCAAGGTGCCAGGTTCGTTGGAGATACGGGCAGCGTACTCGTCCTCGCGTTCGTGGTCAAACTGGACTGTTTTGCCCGTCAGTCAGGCGGTCCTTTAGTATCTTTAGTCAAAAAGAACACCTAGGATCAAAAAGGGCGAAAACCACTTGGTGATAAAGCTCTTTATTGATCTTTATTGCTGCAATCGACTATAATATACAATTAAATACAATTAATCATAATTAATCGATTTCTCCAGTTCCATGATGCTCTCGTGGATGAACGTGGGAATCTACGAGATTGGTGAAAACAAACACCACGCAAAGTAACTCGGAGGTCTGACATTGATGTGTTTGTGCGAGCATGCTCGTTTCAATGCAAAGGTTGTTCACCTTGGTTCCAGCTGTTCATCATGTTCAACATGAATGACAGTGGATTCAGTCAGTCAGTCTGCAGAACACTTTGCATTGACTCTGCCAGCAGCTAGCACCTTGATGTTGCCGCCGTTGCTGCGCGTCTCTTTGCCACCGGTCACGAGGTTCCTTGATGCCAGGCAACTCGACCCAAACACTTCCTTGCTTAAGCATTTGCACGCTACACTGCTCCAACCGAGCACAACTCCAAAGCAAACTACAAGGCGTCTTGAAATCAACAAAGAACGTTTGTGCGAAGAAGTCGCGTGAAGCTGCCATCTGGAGGGCCTCCAGTGCCGGCGCGGGTGCTCTTGGGATCCTTGCTGAAGGGGCAACCAAACCTCGGAGACCAGGGCCCAGTCCCGACGAAACCAACGCAGAAATGTCACGCGAACATGAGACCTGCCCAGCGCTATGGTGATTGAATCTGTGGCAAGAATACATGCCCGAGAGATCCCATAAGTTCACCAGCTACTTATTGCTCGGATGCTCACAGCTATGCTCAACCAGGCCCTGGCATGGGCAAGTTGAAAGCTCACCCTAACATTGCGCTACAACGACCATTTCGTCAGCCTGTTTTTTTGACACCAATCATCTCTCTCGCTCTCTCTCTCTCTCTTGCGCTCTATGTATATAATATATATATACATATGTCACACACACACATATATATATATATATATACACATATCATTATAATCCGTTATATACCTACCTCTGGAAACCAGTGAAGCTTGTGAGTGCTTCTGTGCAATTACTCACAAAAATGGCAAGATTGGCAGCGGGACTTGTTCCCCATGGTCCCCATCACTCACGCGCTAACTGCTATGAACACTCACAGCTTCTCCCTGCGAGGTTGAGAGTCCACGAGTTCCCCTCCAATTCCGAGATCAACTCATCCAAACGCACTAGGCCACTGATCCATGAAGTCCGGAATGACCCGATGGAAGTGGAGACCGTTGTAGAAGCCAGTTTTTGCTAGGTCCTCAGGCGCCCAGGCCAGTGGACACTCATCACAGAAATGAAAGTATTGATCAATCATGATCAATCAGATCTTGCCTAGAAAATCCTTGGGCATGTTTGCCTTCAACAAGTTGAGTTCTTCCCGACGCAACACCGACGCCCACAGCGCTTCTTTCAGACTTTTGCGTGTGAAGGGGCTCGTTCAGCCTAAAGCTGTGGCTTTGGCGATCTTCCCTAGGTGTCCTCAATTATCGTCCCAAAAGGATGGTCGGTGGCTGAATGTGGAGTGCACATCCACAAAGTGGTTTCAAACAAACGCCCAATACCCTCCCGAGCCACCCACTCGAGCTAGCTCGACCAAACAAACTGCATCTTTCAACTTGTGTGCCAATGCCGACAGGCCACAATGAAATTGGATGCCGTGATTGGCATCTGTTCCAGAAAGATCTCGCACTTGATCACACCTGAGTAGCGTTTCAGTAAGGACTCCCTGACCGTTCCTCCAGCACGCTTTGCATATAATATATGAGTCCAGATTTGTTGTGAGCCATCAATATCAACTATCATAATTAGGATAGGAAAGTCCAAATCTCTAGATCCTTAATTCCATCGCCAATCCAAACCAGTAAATTTGAAGGTATACTTAGTATACTGGACCTATGGTAGGGAGGCTGGGGTGCTGGGGGGAGTCCGGAAGAGCACATTCCACCGGAACGTCTCGTCTCCCACCGTCCGGCCTTCGGTGGTGTCGAAGGTCGCAATCGGGTTCGGCATGGCGGTTCAAAGGATTGCGAAACCGGAGCGGAGCGGGGCGCAGCAACGGGGGTGGTCTGAGCCGAAAAGCGTTCGCCCGGCGTTGGCATGCGTTGGCGACGAGATGGGATGAGTCTTGCTTTTGGCTCAGCTGAGCCCCTCAGTTTCACTGGGAAGCCAGCATATATATATAATGTATACATGTACATATATACACATACAGACATACATATGTATACATATACAGTAACCTTTCCACCTGTTGAATCGTAGTGGGGAAACCAACGCTGCAAAAAAGATTGAAGGTTTCCCACTCAGTGGGTAGGCATTCGTGCTGAAGCTCTTCGCGCAATCGAACCGCCGCATGTCAAGGTAGTGCTTGAACATGGCACATATTGAACATAGGTTTGTGTACAATAGGTCCATACGTGCAAATGGTTGCAAGTGACGCTGCCATAGTACATGCCAATGCCACTAACCCAGACCGGCACAATCCAGCGGTGAGAGTGACATACCGCATCCATTCTTTCACAAGGTTGGTTGTTCCATTGCCCTATAGCAGAAATTAGCAGAAAATGGTGGAATGAATTGTAGTTTTGGGTAGGCCTGAAATATGGTGGAGACCGCCTTGCACAAGAGTCGCAAGAGCAAGGCCGAGGCGTCCCAATGCTTGGTTTTCCCTGCTCGCCTCTTCTTCGCGGATTTCGGGTGCACATCCATAGCCTGAGCCTGCGAAATCAAGCTTGGAACCCCAAAGGTTGGCGTTTGGCCTGAGATTCCATCTGGTATTTCTGATCGACTGGAAAACCTCCGAGCTCGCTATGTCTGAACTCTTGGACGGCATCATGAGACGCGAGGACTTCCGACGCAACGCATAGGTGCATGGGCGTGAACAATGGCTTTCTGTGGCAAGGGAAGAAGCGAACAATGTTGAACAATGGCTTCCTGAGCGTCTCAGAACTATCCCAGCTGACTATAAGTGACATTAAGTGACAACTGTTGCCAATGTCTTCCATCCGCGAGTCAGTTGTAAGACTCGTGGATCGGACTATTATAGGTTTCTTTTGCATCAAAAGCCGTGGATAGCGCATCTTCGGCCAAGGGTTTTGCACTGCAGATGTGGTTCTGGCGTCTCCTGGCCAAGCTGAGAACGAATTAGTGCCTGTAAAGCCTGAGTTGCAGCTCAGGTGATGTCTGACACAGTCATGGAAGCTAACCGCTCAGCCCTCTTTCCATGGACCAACTCCATGGGCCAACGGTACAAGAACTGACCCTTGTTGAACCCAGCTGACCCAACCTGCCGTAGCTGTCGTGTATATTATTTATATAGTCTTCCTAGCTCAGGTTTGGCACAAAGGGTGGAGCTCTGCAAAGGTTGCAGCTTTTGAATTGTGCATGCCTGCATGCCTACAATGTACAGCAAGTGTGGCGTGCCCGCAAAAATCAAGCAAGGATCTGAAGAAACCACTTCACGGCTATCCAGCTTGACCGGTTTCACCTTGCTCACTAGTGAACAGCCACATTCCCACACCTGTCGTGCGAATTAGTCACCAGTGGCTCAACTGCCTGCGTGAACTGACACAAAACTGGCGGGGCCAAACGTGGCACCCCTCCGTGGAACCAACATAGAGGGAATGTGAGTGGACCAAAACTGTTGAGATTGACTTGGCATTCATGGGCTATTTCGATGGATTGTTGTGGTGGCCTTTGCAAGGGAAGGCTGGAGCGACGTTGGAGGAATACCCAGTCTCCCTGCAGCTCCGAGTGCCCAATAGTGTCCAGTATCCAGATCCAAAATGTCTAACTACTGTACTGCCCGCTGGCACTCAGGGCCACCGGCCACACCTCATTTCAAAAACTGAAAAAACATGGAAACATATTTCACTAAAAGCGCATGCGCATCAAGAACAAATAATGACAATCAGGACCGAACCAACTGGGAGTGGCTGGAACTCAGGAAAGGCCAAGCAAGCAAAGATCACCACATGCCAAAACCAACAAAACGCAAGGAACACAGGACCATAGGACCATGTTTGGGGAGTTCCCCGTTCAAACCTCCAGGTCTGTAGTTTCCTCGGATATGTCGGATCTTCCACGGGACGCTGGTTGACCCCCAAAATAAAACAGAATGGGCCACGCAACGGTGAACCCCAGGTTGATGCTTCGTACAAATTCTTGCCAACTCCTCCGAAAGCCATGGTTTGGGAAATCAGTTATAGGTTTGGACCGCCAGCTCCCATATAGATATCCATTAAATCATCCCACGTTGTGACAGCACAAGGCCAGACGCAGGCGCAGCGGGGTGACGCAGCGAACGGCCTTCAAATCCTCCAGCGGGGTTTTGGCTTGCGCTCACCCTGAGGCCGAGGAGTCTGACATCGCCGTCCATCTCGACCTGGAGGGACATGTGAGCCCAAAGTTGACGAGCAAGAGCACAAACAAAAGAGCGATGGCCTCCACCCTAGTAGCGATGGCCTCCACCCTAGTAGCGATGGCCTACACCCAAGCAGCGATGGCCCACACCCTAGCAGCGATGGCCTCCACCCTAGTAGCGATGGCCTCCACCCTAGTAGCGACGGCCTCCAACCCAAGAGTGATGGCCCCCAACCTATAGTAGCGATGGCCTCCAATCCAAAAGCGGTGGCCGGCAACCCAAGAACGATGGCCTCCAACCTAGTAGCGCTGGCCTCAAATCCGAGAGCGATGGCTCCAACCAAGAGCGATGGCCCCCAACCTAGTAGCAATGGCCTCCAACCAAAGAGCGATGGCCCCCAACCTAGGAGTGATGGCCTCCAATCCAAGAGCGGTGGCCTCCACCCTAAAACCGACGGCCACCAACCTAAGAGCGATCGCCTCCAACCCAAGAGCGGTGGCCTCCAACCTAAGGGCGACGGCCACCAACCTAAGAGCGATTGCCTCCAACCCAAGAGCGGTGGCCTCCAACGCAAGAGTGATGATGACCTCCAACCCAAGAGCGATGGCCTCCAACCCAAAAGCGATGGCCTCCAACCAAAAGTAGCGATGGCCTCCAACCCAAGAGCGATGGCCTCCAACCCAAGAGCGATGGCCTCCAACCTATAAGAGCGATGGCCTCCAACCCAAGAGCGATGGCCTCCAACCTAGCAGCTATGGCCTCCAACACAAGAGCGATGGCCTCCAACCTAGCAGCTATGGCCTCCAACACAAGAGCGATGGCCTCCAACCTAAAGTAACGATGGCTTCCAACCTAAAGTAGCGATGGCCTCCAACCTAAGAGCAATGGCTTCCAACCTAAGAGCGATGGCCTCCAACCTAAAGTAGCGATGGCCTCCAACCTAAAAGCAATGGCTTCCAACCTAAGAGCGATGGCCTCCAACCTAAACATCAAACAACTACTGCATACTGTACAGTACGTACTATTTTACATTGTAGGACGCCTGGCAAGCGAGCCAGTATATACAAATCATCTGCATACCCACCCCCATCCGATGCATCTGTGGAGTTCCCCAAGCCAAAAAAAACTGCCGGTGTCGGTGGCAAAGTGGAATGGCCTGGTCCCACGGTGGCTGCCCTGCTCCGCTGTGGGCTGTGCTTGGCTCGAGGCTTCCTGCACAGGACCAACGCACAAGGCGACGAACTGAGAACTGCGTTCACTCAGGGAGCCACGCGGGAACCCCACGTGTCCCAAGCTTAACAGCTTGTGTAATCCCTTTTCCTTTTTCTCAACACTTCTTAACACCCCATGCTTAACACCGAATCCACCGTCCATCGCGTCCATACTGATCCTGGGCTCTGCGATTCAGAGGGGGCCCCTGGCCTCGACCGAACGTGCGAAGGAGCAGAACTACGTGCTCGCTCCTCATCCCCAGTGATCTGCCAACTATTGAAAAAATCCAGGATTCCAGGGTGTTCACGCATGTTCACACTCACAGATGCAAAGTGTCACTCAAAACAGTCGGTGTCAAACTTGATGGCTTTATTATATGGGTTCGCCAAAGAATGAAAAGAGATTATATTTAATGGCTTTATCTGTTACTCTTTTTTCCACTTTAGGACACAAATGAACCCGGATAAAACCATTAAATGATAAGGATATAGATAAGGAATTTCGTTTATTAAAAAGAAAATAAACATACTATTCGAAATTCCATCTATAATCCATTAATTGTACATATAAGTTAATGTTGACCTATGATTAATAAAGGGATCCGAAATAAAGTTAGCCAAGTTCATTCCCTGATTAATAAAGGGATCCGAAATAAAGTGAGCACATTTTGCAAAAAAAAATAAACAAAACTAATTGAAAAGAACATAATAAAAAAACATAACTCTTATTTTTAAAAAAAACACCCACACCCACACACACACATCTTTCTTGGAACCTGGGACGAACTTTATTTAGGGTCAACCAAAATATCAAGATTTGCCACCCCCGTTTATTAATCAGAGGTCAACAATAATCCCTTATAAAACGTAATGGAAAAGATTGGAAAAGTATGCGCCAAACAGCCCTCAGTCCACTCAGCGACTTTCGCCAGTTCTTTTGTCCAATGCCCCGAAACGCATGAGAACCGATCGACTCGCGGACCGTTGTTCACCGTTCGCCATCACTCCAATGGCCGGAGCAGGTGTATTGCCTTGATAGGACAAGTAGTTATGTTATAACTCCACTTTGCTTCTAGTAGCTTCTTGCTCCTAGTGGTAAGGCCAGGAGCCCCTAGTAGCGTCCTTGCTCCTAGTAGCGGTGCTAGGAGCCCCTAGTAGCTTCATGCTAGAGTCCCACGAACAGCATGAGAAAACCCGTTCATCTTCGGCCAGCCACAACCCATCTGTCCATTGAGGTGGTCCCAAGCTCTTGAGCCGCTCTGGAAGGCGCCCCAGGCGTTCAGGCTCACCCAGCGTTTTTAGGCGCTCATGGCGTTCCTCTGGGGGCAATTCCTGGGTGGCTAGGAGCCCGAGGCAACTGATGTTTTTCGTTTTTTTTGGGGGGAGCAGGTGTTCCAAACATGTCCAAAGGTTGCCCTGGGTACAGTAGTGTGGACTCTTGATTTGTACAGCAACTCCACCTGGATGGTCAAACATCTCCAAATGGATTCAACGGGTGTGCTCCGAGCATCCAAGATGGAGGCCCTCGGTCGGGGCACCGAGGAGACCCGCCGCAGTGCTGTGCCCTGAGGGCTTGGCCCAAGAAGCGTCGTCGAGAGAGAAGCACGAGGGGTGCAGCAGGCTGTCACGGTGCCTGGATGGAAATGGATGAATTTGGGACTGCTGGACCTTGAGACGTTTCATGAATTTTCTTGGTTTCATCTTGTCTCCTTCCTTCTTCTTAGTTTTTGGGACGCAGGCGTAGGTACAGGGTTGGTCCCACCTGGCCTTCAGGCTCTCGATTGGTAAGGTCTCGGAGAGGCTCCAAGGTTGCCATGGCGGTGGCTCATTCAAATCACAAAGGCAATAGGTCGTCTGACGACCCCTATTCATAATTCATTGCGTGCAACAATCCATCGTTTTCAAGATCCGTCTTGCCCATTTCTTGAACTTTTTCTGATATGACATACAGTAAAGCCCTAAGCGCCCCGTTTGCGAGTTGTTTACAGCCTGCCCCCCGCAAGCTGCATCCACACAGGTTGGTACACTGGACAAGGTGTCGAATATAAACATTCCGTTCTTGCTCTGGGAGTTTCCCTGGATCAAAGCTGCAGTTGGGCCAACGCACATCATGAGGCGGCGTGCCCTTGCCCTTTGTCTCACGAAAACATTGTCTCATTGTGGACATCCATCCCCTGCTGACAAACAGAGTTCACCAGCGGCCTCCTTTAGAAGACGGCGGAAACATTGCAGAAGCCAAAGGCTCCACCAACCCTGCTGCGCCCTTCGGAAGCACCACTTTGATTTTTGACCCTATCAGCTGCAGTCGAGCCAACAGGTGAAAACGCAGGTGTCTTCGATATCTCGTCACACGCTGCAATCCCCATAGCACAAATGATGGGGAAACGGGCCTTTTCCCAGGAAAAAGTAAAAAGTATCCAGATCTTCGTGCACACATCCCTGAAACATACTGGAACTACTCTTCCCAAACATCGATAGTTCCTCAATTCCTGGACTTCTGAACAGGTTCAGCAAAACCTGTCTGCTTGGGCTATGGCCCAAGGCACCAGGATGATCCTGTTTCACAGCTCACTCTGTGAGCCCATCTCCGATGGGTCGCAAAAAGCTGTCAAGAGATAAAACCAACGAGTTCGTCCTTGAAAAAATCCGTCTTGTTTGTTGACATCCAAAATGATTTTAACATTATTGTGAATAGATTAATCCGTACCGAGGTTTCGATCCATACCTCGATTTGGACTGACCAACTGGCCCAGAAAACTAGTTTTCCCTGAATGAGATCCGTCCTCGCTGGCAAAAAGAAAAGATACACAGGTTTCTCTTGGACTCTGCCACAAGAGAAGGGTCACCTCAATGAGGCACTCTGGCAAAGTAGGGCATAGCCGGCATAGCAACACAAGCTCTTGCACCTGTCCCAAGGAAGTGTGAATTCCTCGGGGACACTGTATGTGAACACATGGGGGTTGAAATTCCAAACACCCTGCGGGGAGGGCAAACGTGAAGCTGCAAGTTTTGGCTGGGAGAGTTGGTAAATGCCAGCTCCAAGCATTCAGCCCAACCCCCTCTAGATTGCAAGGCTTGCTGGATCATATCTATTACATTGAACATGCTACCCGTTGCATGATTCAATTTGTGGTTCAAAATAAAAGCAAAAAATCCCGCCACCTGACTGTCTCTGCATATTCAGAAACGCACTCTTCCCGCTTACGCTGCATTCTGAATAACATGGCTGGCATGGTTCATTTCAAATTGCCCAAAACCAAAGCTGGAGCAAAGTTAAAGTTGCATCCCTTTGCAGTGGGGTAGCTGGATAATTCAAAGTTGATTGCAATTGAACTGCAATTGGCACTGTTTGTTTGTCCAACATGTTGAACCGAACTTGTCAAATCAGCAAAAACCCCACTTGCACAAGCAGCCCTCACTGACCCGGACTCTCAAAGCTGGGAATGGTCACTGGGTCCTTCTCCTGAGCGCGGTTTTTAGAAGATATGACAATGAAAGGAAAAAACAACATTTATTCACATGTTGCATTTCATTTGGTCTTAAAGGATTTTTCATTCTAATCTGAAAACGACCAAAAATCAACTTCTTTCATATATAATGGATCACTTCCTGTTTATGGTATTGTTCAATTGCAATTTCTTAGTAAAAAATTACCAAAAACAATTATTACTTGTATTGTATCTAATTGCACTTCAAGGCCTACGGGATATCTATGAAGGTGTTGTATATATGTATATATGAATATATACGCCTACATATACTTATAGAACTTATCTCAATTCGATGAAATGCAATTGGTCACAATTTGGCCTACTGTATTGGATTTTGCACACCAATAAAATATGGATATGGATGGATATGGTAGGTTTATGACAGGAAAACACATTGTGACCAAACATTTGCAATCACATACTTGTCCTATCATCATCACTCCATATATTTGGGAAGCTTGTCTTTCTGCTAATCGTTAGATCCAACACTTATAAGAAGATAATTGATAAAATTCCGTTAGCATCTGCATCGCTATCTTTCTCATATGTTTCCGCAAAAATGTGCTTGGGGCCGCCGGGCCAAGGCATACATTTCTGAGACCAAGCCACTCATGCTCATGTTGTTCAACTGGGACATGTTAGGTATAGTTGTATAGCGCATGGTTGGGAACATGAAAAATCACATCCTATAGAAAAACATATGTGAAAGTGCACCCGATTTCGCCGTCTGATGCGCTTTTCTGCGCGTGCGTCAACGCGGTCAGCTCAAGGGCCCTGTGAACCCAAAATGGTAGCAGGTAGCAGAATGTAATGTTAAATTAGTATTAGTAAGGTGGCCCGTAATTTAAAAAAAAACTTTTTAGAAAAATCGTATCCAATTTGATTTAGTCTTGGACCAAAAGGATCCATAATTAGCAATTTCCCACACCCAGGATCCATACTTAAAAGAACGATCTTAAAAAATCAACGCAGATCCTTGCACAGGCACAGACATCATGGCTGCAGATTCTTCAGATTGTTGCTCGCAAGAGCTAGTATCAGTACGAAGTTCCCCTTGACTTGATGAATGGAATGAAACACAAACCGAAAGGTGGCTGAGTCGGCGAACTTGTAGATGTTTAACAAAGCTTCAACTCCTATGCATTAGCCGCTTTACTGAATACCTAGCAGACCACCTATGCATTAGCCGCTTTTACTCAATACCTAGCAGACCGCCTATGCATTAGCCGCCTTTACTGAATACCTAGCAGACCACCTATGCATTAGCCGTTTTACTGAATACCTAGCAGACCGCCTATGCACGAGCCGCTGTAAACAGTTTTAAACAGTTTTGCACTCAGTTTTGCAGGTACGTTTCACACCTACCACTGCCGGTCTTCGTTGGCCACAGCAGCAGTGGCAGGTCTGTGGCCCCCTGCCTCTTTTTTCCGCGCTGAGAAACATATATATGTTAGTAGCGATACCAGGAGCCCTTAGTAGCAAAACCAGGGGCCCTAGTAGCGTTCTTTGTGACTGAAAACCTTAGGCACAGGTGTGGACACACACACACACGAAGCCGTACTCGGCGCACTGTCCCTTGCTTGCAGTTTTGTAGCGTGGCCAGGAGTCGCTAGTAGCGTCCTTACACCCCGTAGAAAGGTCAGAGGCCCCTAGGAGTACCGTCCTGGCTCCTGGTAGCGAGGCCAGAAGCCCCTAGTAGTGTTGTTTGTGTCGCAAAGCTTTGTACACATAGCGCCAATACTGGCGCTTTTTTGAGAAGTACTAGCCACCTAAATTGCCTTAGAAAGACAATGAAAGCAACAAAACAAAAGCAGACTAAGAGGGCAAGAAAGAAAGATAGGTGTAGTTACGAGGCCCACTTAGTTAAATGAAAGTAGAACGCGAGCGGGACATTTTGTCTTAAACCGCCCGGGTAGCTAGCAATAGGAAAGGAGAAACAGAAGGAAAGGCACCAACGTTGAGTGCGATTTCCTTCTGTTGCCCGAATAGCGGGTGGGATAGCAACGGAGGCCCAGGGGCAGGGAGGTAGGGGGAGGGTGGGTTGGGGTGGCCCGTAGGCTTGCCATCATTGGCATTCAAGTAAAGCCGATTTGGGCCGGCGCAACCCATTGTCTGAAAGACACCTGGAACCTAAAGAAAGGTCTCAAGAAACGAAAAGCAACAAAAAGAGAGAGAAAGAACCGAAGAGCATGAAAAGCACATGCAACAAAAGCAGTCGGTGGTTTGACATGCCCGCGTCCTAAGCCCCGCCTGTGATTACTTAGACGGGCATGAAAGTGCAAATCAGAATCGGTTATTAAATTTCCTGGGGGCGACCTTGGCTACCACGTTTTAGTGGGTTTGTCAGGACGGTACCATCCAGGCACTGTCCTGCCAGGCCAATTTCAAGAGTGATCCAATAGATGTGAGCTAAGCGCCTATGGGCTCGAGGCAGCCTTGGCTACAGCTGATAACCTGGTTACATGGCTTGTTTTTTGTTCTCACTCACAGCATTTTAGGAATCAGCTGAATTGCACAACTGGCCAGAGAGACATGCTTGACAGAACTTGAGCCAAATTGTCTTCAACACATTTTCCTAACAACCTGCAACTTGAAAACAACCTCGCTTCTTTTTTTGGGTTTGTAACAACCCTACCTACTAGCTTGCTTACCATGACGCGAGAAAAAGGGTTCATTCCTAATTCCCAGCTAACTTCACCTTCTCAACACAGTGGAAGGAAACAACATTTGGGGGACCGGTGGATGTAGCCACATATTAGCCTGGAACAGAAGAACAACCTATAACGAATGGCCCTGGCAAACCACAGCTGCACAGCGCAGCCTCCAATCATGTGATTCTCTACTTTGCTGGCTTTGACAAAGAAAGAACAGTGAACAAGTTTGTCAAAACCATACATCACACTCCAGGGAAAGGTATATTTGACGAGCACTAAACGTTGGAACTGCAAACACTCGGCAAATTACGCGTCCTAAGCCGCACAGGAGAGAGAAGAAAACCGCGGTCGCTACCAAAAATGGAAAAAACTGGCCACCAAGGAGTCAGTCCCACTGCTCAATAACTAAAACAAACGTTCAGACTTAGTGGATTTTTGAACTGAAGCGTCGCCACCTTTGGTGGCTTCAAGCGTCTTGCTTTGGCATGCCAGTTGTTCTGACTGACCAAGGCACCTCCCTTGTTATTACCTGCTGTCTCGCAAGCCATGGTGGTGGAAACAAAGCGGAAGCTTTCTCACAAACATGGCGGTGGAAACAAGTTGAAGCTTTCAACTCGAAAACATTTCTGCATAAGTGTGATGGTTGGTGGCACATAAGAACCCTTTCGCGGGTCACACCACCATCTATTGACACGTCTTGCCCCTTGCGCCCGTCTCATACGCAAAGTGTGGGACAGCAGGAGCTTTCATCGACAGACCTTGGAAAAACGAGCATGACCAAAGGCTTTCTGAAACTGCAGAAGTGGTTGACAATGCACCTCTGTCCAGGAACCAGCTGAAAGCATCGCTGAACTCAGAGAACAAAAACAATGACCGATCGTCCTTGTTTTCTCTTCTCTAGTGCACCGGCGTCAAAACCATCTAGAGGCTTACACAGCAGAAGGCTTTGAGTGGCAGGCCCCATCTGCAAACAAAAAACAACTGTTGAGAGTTGCTTGCTACAAGTTTTGCGCAGAATGCCACTCTCCCTCTGTCTCAGCTCAGCCTAAGGCTCAGGAGCCTCCAAACTGAAGCCACAAGTCACACATCACCCTTTCGTGACAAGTTGGATCAAAGCCCCCAAGAGCTTGACCTCCTGAGCCATCTTCTTCTTGTCTGGTTCTGTCAGCTTTGCTGCAGCCCCAGCGTCATTCAGATCTTTTTCCAAATCCTGCTTTCTGTTTTTCAAAGCGCTCAAGCCATTATCATGAGCTGCAGCTTTGCAAACCACAGGGGCTCGGATGCCCACGGTGGCCTGCTGAACCAACTCACCAACAAGGAACCCGTAAGGCATGAAGAGACAATCTCCTGCTCCCATGGTGCCTGCCCATAGAGTGCACTCCTTCTGGTACTCTGAAAGCAAGGGCACCGTCATCGATCTGAAAAAGGATGACATCTTTGCCAAAGTTACAGCACTAATACCCTTCCGTTCCATGAACCGCTGCATCTGCAGCATCTCGGTCATGATGACCAGGCGTGTCCCTTCCACAGTGACTCGACACACTGCGCTGCCCAAGAACTCAGCAGACACTTTATCGTAGCCTCCATCAATTCCAAACATGCTGAATGGCAAAGCATCTTTCAAGTCACCATAGTTCTCGACAGGGACCCAATCTTTGCAAGCTTGAAACATTTCAGTGAGCTGGCCAGCCACTGCTTTGGCATTGGCTTCCTCGGCAAAGCTCTTGGAAACTCGGATGCCCTTGGTTTTCGTGCGGGCTTCAGTGAAGGCATCCTTGAAGCTGGCAATTTCCTTCTGTGACACTGAACCATCTTCTGTGAACTTGGACACCCATGTTGAGACATCCATGGCCCAAGGCTTGGAGAAGTCAATGCCTGCCTGGCCAGATGCAATTCGTGGAATGGCATTGGCTTGGTTGACACCTTGGTCAAACACAGGATGGGAAGGCGAGCCATCTGCAGCCTTAGCCTTGCTAGCCTTGGAAGCATCGGCTTGTTGCTTCGCTTGGCGCTTGGCTAGCTGCTCTATTGCGCTTTTCACTGCCTTGGAGGCCCTTGAGGTAGCTTGCAGCAACTGTTGAAGAGGCGACCGGATTGCATTGATCTCTGCTGTGACCTCCTGACAGTGGCCACTGAGAACCATGAATGGCAACAACTTGGATAACAAAGAAGGCAAGCCAGTAGCGTAACTTAGAATTGAAAAAAAGGCTTCTTAGGTAAAGAAAGTTCAACGCTTGACCGAAAACCTGTTCAACTCTCCCCAGCTGTGCCCTGGAAAATTTTCACATATTCATTCAACTTTGTGTTGCCACAAATGA